ATCTGCATTTCTTGTGGCGGCTGAAGAGGGCAAATCTCAGCCCATCTGTCCTCTCTACCTTCTGTAGAGGCACCATAGTGTTCTGACCAGTGGCATCTCTCTAGTGTTTACTAAAAACCTTTTTCTTTGTCTTTTAGATTTGACCTTTCTGGGGCGCTGTGGTTTCGTGGTTACTTGCCTTAGTCTAGACCTAACACGAAGTTGCTTAGGGTTACAGTTAGACACATCAGTGCTGGATATGGCAGCGTCACTCAGCCTTGTAGCCAATTTTGTCCCCTGGCCACTTGCAACACTGCAATGCAAAAACACCCTATATAAACATTCTTTTCTAAAGCCCGTTTTCTCATCCTCCAGCACCCCCCTTCTCAACAAATGTTGGGAACATTTGCTGCTACGTTTTAACCCTGATGGATATTTTTAGCCCACTAGAGAAAGTATTGGTTTGTAAGGTTGGCAGTGTCCATGTGTTGATGAGTTTGCTGTTTGCCTGGGTTGGACCACCTTGGTCTGGTTGGTGTGCATGTAAAGGTTCAACTCTGTGGCACTGCTATTGGAGCCTTTAGATTATCAGGCATGTTTCCACCTAGTTCTAAAATATTAGCTCCAGTTAACTAAACTACATTGCAACCACAGGGGACGTGTCTAAACGATGCTGCTAGATATAAATTTTGCTGAAAGATATTTCCTCGTGTTCTCACTTGCTCACTCTTTCCTGCTCTGTTTTTGTTTTGTCTCACTTTGTCATGTTCTGTTTCCCAGTACTTGGTCAGTCTTATTTGTCCCGTTGTTTTATCTCGTTTCCACCTCACTCGATGTTACTCGGCTTTTCTCTCATACATTTATAAAATTTTCCTCTGTTTCCAGCTTCTCGATAGATCCATCAAACTTCTACTTATGTTCCTAATTGATTTGTATTCAGAAGGTGCCTGGAGCAGGAAGGATATATGATAATACGTTTGTAAGCTCATGGTTAGCAGCTGTTGCATTAAATTATGCACCTTGTTAATAACTGAGGTTATCTTTTCTGCACTTGAATTGTCTTTCCTTTTCTTTGCTTTTTCTCAACCAGATCTTTTGATTGTTTTTGTTTCAGTCATTTAGGATATATTTTGAAGTTTTCAAGTGCCAAGTGAGAACAAATGTCCCGTGTGACAAACAGCATTGCAACATGCTTTACAAAGTGAACAAAGTGTGCACTCTGTTTTGGGGTGAAACTGGTAATGGAATAGTCCTAAAATGACCTGGGTGTGTCTGTTAGATTTGTTCATCATTCTTAAAGATTAGTGGTAAAATAGTCTATTTCTTCTAAAGCCAGTACACTGCTGTACCATTACTAGACGAACTCGGCACAGACTTCAATTAATAGGCTTTTTATTCCTTAACCTTCTGTTTTGAGACTGTTTTTGACTTCGGGGTCAGACTGGGTATTGAACATACGCACCTCTTTGTTACGGTTTTGTTTCATATCTGTCGCACTGTCAAAAGCTGGCGTTGAATTCCTGCCAAGATTTTTATTCCTATGCAGTTAAGTGTACATGTTTGCTGATTTAAGTCAGAATTTTAGATTTTTTTTTTACCAAAGTGTTTTGTTTAGGAAACATGTAACTCTTGAGAAGTTTGGCTTTCTTTATGAAATCAACTAAAACAAACAACAACGAGTCTCCAACCATACTAGTGGCTTTGTGACACTGTGCAGTGAGTGGAGTTTTGAGCTTGATGCTAATGTCCATATGCTAAACTTCTCACAATGCTGACATGTTGATGCTAAGCAGATATTTTTACCATTTTGACATTTGTTAATCAGCACTAAACACAAAGTGCAACTGAGGTTGATGCCATTAGCCATAAACCCAGAAATGGCCAAATTGAAAAATTTGACCTAATGGTGGTGCTAGGTGAAAAGTTAGTTTTCACAAAACATCCTGAGTGTGATATGGAAATCTGTACAAAATTTAATGTCAACTTATTCAATATTTGTCAGGACATCTTAGTAAGATCCCAAAATGGCACTAAAGGTAAAGTCACCATAATCAGTCAGGTTCATTGTCTTTGTACCATGAATCTCTGTACAAAATGTCATGGCACTCATCTGATTTTACAGTACCTAGCCATATAGTCAGACCGTCATTTGGGGGGCTATTGATAGTTTCATTTACAATAAGACATCAGTCCATCACCTCCTACATCAGCCACTGCTACATTAAGTATGTTTCATGACGTCAAGGCTCGTCAGATTAACACAGTTACCTGCAGAATGACCTGTTCATCTTACCCAAGTCATTTACTTAAGGTACTAGGAATGCGAGCTTATGTGGATTTGCCTGGCCATCAGTGTGCTGGATGATGTCGCATTATGTTGTGACACCAGATGAGCTAAGTGCAACTATTTAGCCACATGACCCGCTGTCTATTTTGCTGGAGCTTTCTGCTTTGGAACCCCCTCTGTGCCATCTCAAAGATAGAGTGAAATAAATGACACAAAATGTTTGTTTCACACAGTGCTAACAATGGTCAAAACACAGTCTAATATAGTAAGAGTGAATTACAGATGCACCCATTGATGCACATTTGTACAGGCTAACCAAATGAAAGACACACACAAACAGACAATTCCAGGTATCCCAAAAGAGAGACAGACTAAACAGACATCAGCATATAAGCCCCACCTATCTGCTGCATGCATGCGTGTGCGGTGCGGTGTGGTGTGTGTAATGTCACGCTTAGCTGGCTGTTATCTTCTGCAGACTTGCAGGTCCCTGGAGGGACACCACAGGAGTCATCAGATTCACTTGCAGTTTTTTTTTTCTCTGACAGAAAATTAAAACAAGACCAACACAGAGAGAGACAGATAGGAAAGAGAGAGAGCTGTCTTTTTTTTTTTTTATTAAATCCATTCTGTTTTTACTTGATCCCAGCCAAACTGATACTTGTCTAACATATAAAGTTAACACACACACTATTTCAGTCCCTATTTTCACCCGCATTAACATGCACCAGCTGCAGCTTTGCAAATGACAGGAGAAGTCTCCCTAACATCAGAAGCCCTCTCCCTCTTTTGCTCTCCTCAGTTAAGGTCTGTTTATGAAACACAGACGATCGGCTCTGATTTGATTTGGCGTTCAGCAGCCCTGATAATTATGATGAATCCTTCTCCCTCAGAAAGCGTGCGCATGTGTGCATGTAGGCTTTTTTTTATTTTTTATTTATACAGATGCTGATTTTTCAGTGCCACAGTGCTGTTAGTCAGACCTAGAACAATAGTGCTTTAAAAATATTGATTGGCATTAATTTGCTGGGTTTACCAGATGTGTAATATTTATTACATTATGGTAGTTCAAATAGTGTCTGTCAGCCTGTCAGTCTCAGTGACAGTTTGTAGTTATACCTTCTACATGTTGAGTTTTCCAATGTGACAGTGTGCCCATCTGGCACTAAGACAAGCTTTAAGAACTTCATGTGCTGAAGTACTTTTGTAGTAGGTTACAATAAGTTTGCCTCTTATTTATACTTTAATACTGTAAGTTTTGGCACAGAAAAACAAGTTTGTAGTCGGAAGAAAGCTCTTCTGAAGTGACGGCGCTCTTTGTGTAGCAAAAGGTTTATACAGGGTAAATGCCATTTTGTTTTACAATGCACAAGTGCTGCACTTTTATAACATATTCTCAACTAGCTGCTTTTGAAACTCCCTCAGTAGCCATGTTTGGCTAGTGAAGATTGACGAAGAAAAGCTGAATAAACATATTGTAAGTAGTTTTCAAATAGTTGAATGTGTCATAGTTTTAGAGTAAGACAAAGTAAAATCCTGTTTTTGAGCTGCCAAATTCACATTTTACAGAAATACACATAGCAAAGATTTTACATAAATTTAACAATTATATGTTGTGTTCCAAGTCTTTTGTGTTTTTACACCCACTTTTTCTGAAGCACAGAATTTGACATCAGTATGTTGTTACAGATTATATTGATGTATTGATAACATCTAGTCAAAAAGGTGTGTTTTCTATTACTTCACTTGGATATTTGTGCTTCACTGTGCAGAATAATATACAGTATGTGCAGTTAGAAGGCTGTTTTCACATTCATCGACTGAAATCTCAGTTGAAGAAGAGTAGCAAGATTTATTTAAATCTAGTCTGGAAGCCAGTCAGAGTCACATACAGCTCACACAAGTGAGATGTGGACCTTGAACCCTCCAGAGCACATACAAAAATATTTGTATATTTACCGATGAGTTTTTCAGTAAGAAAGAAGTAGATGTAATTTTAAGATATGATCATTTAAAACAATATTTTCTTGTCTTAACCCATGTCTAGAAAGGATCTTTAACATTTTGTAAAGTTCTGTACAATGCTATCAGCTAAAAGACTGTATACTATTTCACACTATAAGCTATACGATGCTTATAGTGCTAAGGAGTATGTCCAAACCAAACATGGTTGCCATGGCTGCACCATCCGTCATCAGATGGAAATATTCAGGACATAAAATGAATATGAAATATGAATATGTAAATGTGGACTGCCACTGTCTATGGTGAAATAGCTAATTAGATGGATTTATTACATTTGAGTTAGATTGTAATTTTTATGTGATTCATTCATAGTTGTGACAAAAGAATACAGATCAACTGATATGGCAACTTGACAGTTCTTTTATTGCTTAGGCCCAGATACTGCATTCCGTCTCAAATCAAAAATAGTTTAGTTCAGTAAGCCCAGGATTTCTTGGGAAATTGAATACATTTTTCTAGTTATGAACACAACACATTCTGATCAAATCTGTGATAAATTGTAAGAGTTTCATGTTTAACTACAATGAAATGAATAATCATTTAACCTGCCTAATCCAAATACCGTGCTGTGATTGAGCTGTATTTTTTTTACTGAGCTGTATTTTTTTTTTTATTGTTTTTGCTTCTTTTTCCCTCCTTTGATCTTTCTTTACTAACCCTGCTTTGTTTCTCTACCTTCTTTGCTCTTTCTGTTTCCCACCCTTTCTAGTCGGCAGATGAAATAGAAGTAATGGTAAGATTTGCTGCAGTCTTCAGATTCCTTCTGTTCTGTCCAGTTCATCTTTTCAAGCTGGTTTCCAACTATTGTAATATTTTATTTCCTCGTTGTCCTCCTGGACAGGCCGAGGGCCAGTTTAAAAAGTAGAATCATTATTGTGCTGAATAGAATTCCATCCATCCATTTTCTTCCGCTTATCCGGGACCGGGTCGCGGGGGCAGCAGTCTAAGCAAAGATGCCCAGACTTCCCTCTCTCCAGACACTTCCTCCAGCTCCTCCGGGGGAA